ATATTACACTGGACTACATTCACCATGCAATGCTGACTCTTCTCGGGGAAGGATTAGCAGGTACTATAATGCTGCTGCTGCTGCTGCTGATGGTGATGGTGATGATTATGATGATGGTAATGATAATTATGATAATGGTGATGATGATTATGATGATGATTATGATGATGGTGATGATGATGGTGATGATGGCAATGGAGATGATGTTGATGATGATGATGATGATGATAATGCTGATTGTGATGGTGTTGATAGTGATGACCAGTGATGATGATGATGATTGGTGTTGATAGTGGTTACCAGTGATGATGATGATGATAAGGATGATGTTATGATAGTATATTACCACACTTCAATGATTATTTTGACTTTGTGATGGTTAAGTTTTCCTTCTTTTACCTATTTTCAAGGCCTTGGAATCATCTCTAAAAATCTAACTGAAACACAGCTAAAGAAGGTAAAAAAAATCATAATTTGTGCCTCCATCATATTAGTTCATAAACCCTAACATCAATCAGCCCTTGTGGGTCAATACCTCGGCACTCATCTGTCAAGCATGTTATTTTATAGGCAGCCAGTAACTACTGTCCACATCATGTGGGACACTACCTCGGCATGGACACTTATGACACTCATCTGTCAATCATGTTATTTTTATAGGCAGCCAGTAACTACTGTCCACATCATGTGGGACACTACCTCGGCATGGACACCCATGACACTCATCTTGCCAGTAGGAGCCTGTCTCTCCATCCTGATATGGTAGTGACAATTGAACCAGGTCTCTATATTCCTAGCAACGACAAAAATGTCCCTGAAAAGTAAGTATGAGATTTATATATCTTTCCACTCTGACAAACATTGCTGTTGCCCTAGGGAATTGGTAGGATCCGAGAGATATATCCACGCCTCTTGTCCCTAGAACAGGGCTGACACAAACAACACAGCCTTGTTATAAAGCAAAACGATATTTTTTTCTTAAAGGAAAAATACCATTGTCATGCAAAATATTTTTAGGATTTTAGAATTATTGAAGAAATAGAAAAYGCGMGCACGTGTYGTGTGCTGTTATAAASCACGCGGGGGTTGGCAGAACACGAGAGAASTATTAGGAGAAGCACGACGCGTAGCAGAGTGCTTCTCGACACTTCTTAAGTGTTCTGCCAATCCCCAAGTGCTTTATAACTCCACACAGCACAGCATAGCAAGTAATTTTTTTATTTCTTTTACAAAACGCAAARGGTGCGTGCGTGCTGTGTACTCTCAYAAAGCACGCGCTCCCAACCAATCAGAATGCGAGATTYATAACARTTWTTTTATAAAATGTTGTATAACATGGCTGCCTTGAAGTATCTCTATAGTTTTACCAGTACCATAATAGAGAGACTCCAGTGTTGATGATTATGTTACTAGGTATCGCGGCATTGGGATTCGCATTGAAGAYGATGTTCTAATAACAAAAGATGGACATGAGGTCCTTAGTAATGAATGCCCTAAGGAACYTCACGACATTGAAAACTTGATGCGAAGATGACCTCATGCACACAACTGGGCTTCCTGTGTTATGTCTGAGCTGAGTAAAGACTTGGAAGGAATTTTGCCGCACCACAGGAAGCCCATTTCCAAGATGTCAATCATTACCTGGATATCAATGGATACAAATCTAGAGATGCAACAAGAACCAAATAACAAAAAAATACCCACCCCCCTAAAGAGGGGAATTTTGGTGACTATGGTTTACTAGGCATCATGGGATTGGATGACAACTTTGTTTTCAAATAGTAAAAATCTTTTAACCTAAAGAACTAAAATAAAAAAATTAAACGTGTGTTTAGGAAAATATATTAACTATTTAACTCTTGGGATTAAATTTTTTTGTAAATKATAAGATGTAATCTGAGTTTTCGTAAATAATTTTTGACTTTAAACTTAATATATTTGTAATAAATATTGATTTCATAAAATGATTTTAGATTTGATAATAGAGTTTCGCGCTGTCTGATTCTCTTGATTACCATTTTTTTATTTAACGCGTAGGTTGCGCAGATAAAGAAAAATGAATATGGATACAACTGRAAAAAAAWTTTCTTACATTTCACCTGTAAGAGATGGATTAAATTTGTCATGACTTTGACARTGTTTTTCAAGTAGAAAAGAAAAGCTGCTTAACACTGGAACGCTATAATATCGAGGTTTTATCAGAAACGTAATAGGATTAGTCACTATAAGTCGAACTCTATGGTGTTCTGAAAACCGGTACCACGTTTACGCTGGAGAATAGCGCCGAATTTGAACGTTTTGCTAGAAGTTTTTATTTAGGGAAACGCTTCAACTTTAAAGTATGTAAAATATGTAGTTAAAAATCGTAGAATTTGAAAACCGTTTTCAACATTAGGATTGCTAGCGTTCTCGAGTTATGGAGTTTGAAAACATTTTATGAATTCAATAGSAAGTTGAAGAAGAAACGCCTACATATTCGCAGACAAAAACTCGACCTCGAAATTAGGGTTAATACTACTACTGATATTACCAAGAATGACGAGAGTCAATCGTTCTGAGTTAAGAGAGATTGAAATCCAACTTGTTAAGCCTTTAAAAGCCGAACAAAATTAAACCCGTTTAACAAGAATGACGAGAAGAATCAATCGTGGGTTAAGAGAGTTTAAAATTCGACGCTAGTTAAGCCTTTAAAGTCATCGAACAAAATTAAACCGTTTATTAAACTYTTACAAAGAAAATCTTGGTTAAAGTAGATTAAAATTCGACAAGTTAAGCCTTAAAAATCGAACAAAATTAAACCCTTATCAAACGAGGTATTCACAAGGGCTGGGTAAACTACCACCACTTGAATTACTTTCGTTGACCAAAAGAACCAAGGAACGTACGCTAAAAGGAAAAAAACAAATCAGAACGATGTAAACATTTCACAAATAAACAATGTCCTTTTCCTGCGATCAAATCTAATCCTGACGTCCACCACAAGATGAAAAAGACCTTACGACGGAAGAACTTCAAAATGAAGCTTTGTACGAGTMCGAAACGGTGAGTTATTTACCGCCATTTCCGATTATTCGAGACTGGGTTGATGGCTTTGGTGCCAGGGTTTACAATGCTTTCCCATGTCGGCGAGAGTTCCGTCGTATYTTAAGTTCAGGTTTTTAAATGAGCGAGTGGAGTGGGATGGGGATTAAGTCGCAAAAGAAGTTGATGTAAAAGGAACGGGTAACTGTGACACGAGCTAAAATAATGGTGTGAAAGTGCGCGAGGGTGTGGATAATATTTGAGGCCACAGTAACTAAAACCAGGGGCGTAGCGAGTTATCGATTATATGGAAGGGGGGGGGGGGGGGGGGGGGGGGAGCGGTAATGTACCCTTTTCCCGCCAAATCCACAGGAATCCCGCATGAATAAATTAATTTTTGGTGGGCAGAAGAAGACCTCTGCAAGCAGGATAACCCTACATGGATATATAACTAAAGGCGACGCTTGTATCAAAAGCAGGCCATTGGGCAAAATAGCTCTTAGCTCTTCGTGTTGTCATGTCGACCACGCCAAACCAAATACTCCTGAATTCCTTGAGATGATKCGAAATTTTAAAATGTCTTGACATTTTAGAATACGAAGAGACAACTAACGATAGCATATCGATTACTCCCGAAGTCTCCCGACAGCAATCCGAGGAGGAAGACTTGGAGTTGGAGAGCCGGCTGAAGATTTCTATTCGTTATCTACTTGTCCATTATTGTCTGCGTCAAGACATTTAGTGACTGATAACCTTAGCAAACGAGTAAAGGAGTATGTTTGTTTAGTAAATCAAATTGGATGAGTAGAATGGTTATCTTTTTAAAAATATTTTATCTAACGTCTCGTTGTCAAGGGGAAAATCTTCATGGAAGACTTTAAGGATTTTTTAATGTTAAAACACTGAAAAATTATGATATTGATGGTTCTGCAAAGGAGGCTATCTAACAGCCGCCAYGCTGGGTGAATTTAGCAAAAATTCATCATTAGTCTCTTGTTATATCCTCCAACATGGCCGCCGTGTCTTTTGATATTTCATTCTCTTGGGAATGATTAAAAACCAGCAATTGTGATCATTTTGAGTGCTTGAGCCTGAAAGCAATCGTTTTAATCGATCAATTGYCACGCGTTGCCTAGGAACGCTGACACAGTGCAGAAATGTTTGGTGTGTTAGCCGTCACCTGTCGCTCATTTTTAAACTGGAAGTTTTGAATTTCGTTTTTATTTTGTAGGTGAGTCTTCTTGGAGATTTTTCCAGGAAGAGAAGAGCAATGAAAGAGAAAGAAGCTGTTCTGTAAAAGCTAGAAAACAGTACTAGACGTAAGGTAACGGAGGTTTGATCAATAAAGCAATCGGTCACCGTTTAAGCAAGTAGACAAGTACCGAAATCTCCCGTCATTCTTAGTGAATCAGAGGTATGCAATAACGCCATCTATCGCGAAAGCTGCTCAAAAAGGAGCGCAATCTCACATCTCGAGTGTCTTGCCTGAAGGAACTTTGTCACAGCACTTTGTTGTTCCGAGTAACGCAGTAACGCAATTTCGTGCCTCGACTGGATTTCTTGAAGGATCGCTGTCACCATTTTTTGTAGCTTAGGGTATTTACCTAAGAATAAATGATTTGTGATTGAAATATCAATGTTCAGGTGTTCAAATGGARGTGRTTGGGATGAGGAGTCTTTCCTTCTATCCCCCTTTCCCCCTGCCCCCTACCCCCCTCTCCTTACCCCCTGCCCCTTGCAGAGGTCCACGGCTTCTTCTCCTCTTCTCAGACTTCCAAAACGGAGGCCATGTAAATAAGGATATACAGAAATTTTTATTCAGTCATTGGCAAAACAAACACAAGGATCATTTGGTTTTTAAGTGTGGCCAGCACAATTAATAACTTAATCGACCCATCCCCATAGAAACGACGTCATTTTATTTCCCCCCACTGCTTTTAAATTATCTGTCTCAAATTAACTCTTGGATCAATTAATTAAAAGAAAAATGAGAATGATAAGTGGAATTTTTCCCCCCTTATTCGAATTCTGTTATTCCTACCATTCCAGTCAGTGTTAAGGTTGTCAGCGCTAAGTGCACTATGATAACATCACCTAATGTAGTTTCGTCACATGGCTTCCTAATATTGTATTTTATCATCCTAATAGTATTTACATCTGAGGTCTGGCTCGCTCAAAGATATATCAAAACAGCTGTGAATATTGTGGATGTTAATTGGATTTTAGACTTAGTGCAAGATCCGGCCACCTACCGCGAATTGAATTGGTATAAATGAAGATATATCARAATAAGACTAAAGTGTAGCGAATATGTGTTTGGGTAAATTGAAAACAATAAAGTTGGGCTTGATAGGATTTTCTTGTGGCGCKTAGGAGATAATTTAGAAATGTCAATCTCGAGGGCTCAGATTAGATGATGATTTCCGTGCGCTATAGTAGGCTTCCGATAAGGATTGGAGATTGTACTCATTAAAAGCTATTAGGCTAAACAAAACCCTCTGAAGTGTGGGCTATATACTTGTGAACGCTTTACGAGTGCTTCACTTAAGCCAGTTAACGTGGAGTCCAGAGGACATAATCCGACACATAACGCTCGCTCTAGGGTAAATCCTATTTTATCCTACATCGATCATACTCGAACTAATCAAAGTCCTCAATAGCCTTAACTTTGACAGGCTATTTACAGAGGGAGTTGTCTGCGGAGAATTGGCGTACACCACAACAGCTGATAACTCAAACGACTGGTCATAAGAGAGTGCTATTATTGAAGAATCATTTATCAGCACCTTGAATCTGTCGTGCAATCGAGAGGAGTAGTTAACCTTACCACTGTAGSCAACTTCAGTTTCTTGTTTCAGTTGACTTGCTATCAAAACATGAATTTAACTGGCGGAGAAAGAGCAAATGAGTCGTCAAGGGCAAATTTAAGTTTCCAGAATRCAACAGAAAGCCCTTCGTGTTCTTATTACTGTGAGCCACTAGCCCTGGAAGTCTTCAAGCTAACACTACAGGTTGCTATCGCACTTGTTGGTGTTTTAGGGAACATTCTGGTGTGTGTTGTCATTACCAGACGTGCTAACATGAAGACGAGCATGAACTTGTACCTGCGAAATCTCGCCATCACTGATTTGGGAGTTCTCCTAGTTAACTTTCCATTAGTGGCCAATTCAATACACAACACATCAGGTTGGCCATTTGGTAAATTCTTGTGTCTCTACGTGGCACCTGCCACAGACATCTTTTTTGGTGCTTCCATTTGGTCCATCACGGTGATTGCCATYGAGAGGTATAAAAATATCATCAGCCGTAAAGTTTTCGTAAAGAAAGTCGAGTCATCCAAGAGAGTGACGCTCAAGATTGTTCTGATCTGGTTGGTGTCGTTTGCTGTGGTCGCAGCTCCGTTGTATCCGTTTTTTCTTTATCGTTCTTCTTCAGTCTCAGCACAATGTTACCCAGACGGGCCAACCTTTGTGCTCAAAGCCTACGCTGTATCCTTGGCAATCTTTTGGTATCTGCTGCCCCTCGGCATCATAACTGTTACATACTGGAAGATCTCCGCTCAACTGCGACAGAGCAACACCTTCCAYAAGACTATGCACGGAGAAGAAGCTGCAAAGAGCAAACTCTTCAAGGAAGAAGAAAGRCGACGACTCAAGCAAAACAAGAARGCACAGAGAATCCTGACACCACTCGTGGTCATCTTTGCYGTTACTATGCTACCATTGAATGTGTTTCGCCTGGCCCTAGGRTTTTTCCCTCAGTTCGTGAAATATGAATACTATTATCAGTTGTTCAGTGTATGCGCGCTGTTTGTTGTTATYAATTCTGCTTCCGACCCTATCGTTTATTACATATCCAGTAAAGAGTTCCGAAAGGGTCTTCAAGATCTTCTGTGCAACGGCAATCGCTTGTCAAAAAATGGTCCCAGAGCCAAGCCGTTCGGTAAGGAGGCTTCCACTTCGGGTCCTGTATTGGAAACAGAGATGTAAAGTTGAAAA